GGTGCTGGTGCTGGTGCTGGTGCTGGTGCTGGTGCTGGTGCTGGTGCTGGTGCTGGTGCTGGTGCTGGTGCTGGTGCTGGTGCTGGTGCTGGTGCAGGATGCTGGTGCAGGATGCTGTAGTTGCCGTGGTTCCTGGGTTGGGGCACTGGTGATGGTAGGCTCGGTTGGAGGGAGAGGCGGTTCGACCAGTAGGCGAAGAGGTCGTAGGCCCATTGCGGCGTCAGATTTGAGGATGGTGTGGAAGAGACTGGGTAGATGTTGATCGGAGAGGTGTCGTGGTTGCCGATGGCGAGATAGACGGGTCCCTGGCGGGTGAGGGGCTGCAGGGCGGTATACGTGGTGTTGTAGTCGGCTTCGACGGAGGCTCGACTGGTAAGCCAGAAATCGTGGGGGACGACGTCTCCGGTGAACAACGTGAAGGCCAGCGGAGGCTGAAGGCCCTGCAGGACGGGTAATAGACTGTCAGTCAGGAGGCGAATGGGAGGATCGCACCGGGGATTGCCCCCCCAGTCACCGCAGGGGAAGAGCGTGCTGTTGGGCGCATCGGCCGCTGTATAAGGCCGGCAGCACATGGGTTTCGAGCAGGCATAGCTGGCTCCCGCCGTGTAGAAGCGGTCAACGTGCGTGTCGCTGAGATGGACCACGCGGACGGTTCGATTTTCGCCATCCCTTGTATTATCGTTGACGCTCCTCGTGATGGGCTGGCTCGACGGCTCGGGTGGCAGAGTCAGATTGAAATCGATCTCAGGCCACGGACACAAGCGACCCAAGCTGGCGCACATCAACCGACTGGTCACCGATCCAATCTGCAGCTGTTCGAGGATGTAAAAGACGCTGGGCGCTTGGGCGGCCGCGGTGCCCTGGCACACATCGGCATCGGCAATCTGGACTCGGCGATTTAGAGTGACAACAAGACAAAGAGATGATCGATCTAACCTTGGCCTGCGTGCACACCTCCTCCAAGACTGCTCTCAGAACATCCGGGCCCTGATGCGCCACGGCCTTCAATGTGCCTAACAGGATCTGCAACCAATATCAACCCGTGGCCAGTCAGTCATCTCGGCTAGCGTTCCGCTCACCTCGCAGGTTGCACACGTCACAGCCTGCTGCAGCTCCCCCCAGACTCGGTCAACCCAGTAATCGTGATCCTGACAGACAGCTAGAGCCGTCAGTAGGGTCACAAGGATTATCGCAGTGTTCATAGCGAAGAGAGGGCTGGGCCGTTATCTGGAAAGGGAGATTGAAGACCCAAGGTCGGTTCTTTATACAAGAGTTGTTTGTGCAGGAGTGTTCATATGCCCCGAGCTTCGGGTCGAATTGGCTGATTTAATCCATTAGAGAGGCTATGGGACCATGGGATAGCAACAAGACCACCGAAGCGGAAGATCCTGGTTGATGAGGAGAGCATCATCAGCGGTGGTTAGGTTAGGGCTGTAGAAGTTGTCAACTTGTCATCCGATGGCAGCAAAGATTGCGGGGGATAAAAGACCTCGCTAAACAAATCAAGCAATGGCCCCCCATTCAACAAGAGGACTGAAGTAGTATAGTGCACAAACCAATCTGGAGACCAAATGAGGATCCCCATGCAGATAATCTATCACACCGTACTATTAAACATTAAAGAGTCGATCGCCCAGGAACAAATTCCTACTGCGGATAATGATAACTAACGGGACCGTCTATGTAAGAGATGCCACGCGAGGGGGTGAAGAGAAATAACATAACCGCTACGTCGTTCTCTCTCCTTCTTCTCTCTCTCATCCTTACCAATTTCTACTGTCCATCCCCATCCCTCCATCAATCAATTGTTGGTCTTGCTACTCCGTACTCTGCAGTGAAATAACTCCTTTTACTTGGAAGAGTGACTGTCGATCAATATTCAGTGCGATTGCTTTAGCTTACTTAATTTGCCATATTTTATTTTATTTTTTCTTCCGTATTTTTTTAAATTAAATTGTCGAGTAAGCCTTCCAAGTTGCGTGGTTGGAACTTGGAGGTTCCATCCTTTTTCCCTCTTTTTCCCTCTCGTCTATTTTCCTCTTTCCTGCTTACTTGCTTTCCTGCCTGCCTTCTGTTCCTCTCCAACTCTTTCTCCTCTTCCTTTTCTCCGCTTCATCCCCTCAACCTTTTCCTTCTCCTTTTACCACCCACACTCTCTTTTCAACACATCTGCTTGTCTTGATATCTCATATGTACAGATCTATCTGCCTCCATGCCGTGAATCCGTCGAGCGAGAAGTCAATCATGGGCCTGCCTCCCTCCCCCCCTCCTCCTTCTTCTCCTCCTCCCCGCCTCTAACCGACCCTTCCGCTCCCTCCGAGTTCGCTCTCCTCCCGCTCTCCCTCTCTTCTCTCTCCGTGATGGAAGACCAACGACCGACTGTTTTAACCGTCTCAATTGTCTTTTTTATTGTCGCCACGGTTTTTGTTGCCTTGCGCTTCGTCTCTCGCCTTTTTATAGTTCGCAAAATTGCCCTGCATGACTATTTTATGCTTTTGGCCTGGGTATATCTATCCACCATATCAATTCTCTCCATCCTGGGCGATAAGCGAACTGACCATACTCCCCGAACACCCTCCAGGTCCTTGATTTCGGCTTCTCCTTCTCCCTCTTCTATGCTACCCACCAAGGCCTTGGACTTCACGATGTCAGTATTCGCCCCGAGCAACGGCCCGGCCTCAATCGCGCCGATTACGCCTTTACCGTCCTTTACGTGAGTCCTCCGCTCCGCTTCTGCTCTCTGCGCTCGGCTCACGGACGACTCAGAACCCAACCTTGATGGCCATCAAAACTTCCATCCTTGTTTTCTACCTGACCCTTACACAAGGCGAAAAGATCTTCCGCTGGGCCACCTACGTCACCCTCTTCGTCGTCAATGCCGCTGGCCTGGCCCTCACCCTTGTCAACGTCTTCCAGTGTCGTCCAGTCAGTGCTGCTGTCGCATACCCCTTGCCCGACGGCGCCAAGTGCATTGACATCCTCACCCTCTATCTGTCCTCCTCCCCAGTGAACATCATTACCGACCTGGCCATCCTCTGCCTACCGAATCCCATTCTCACGCGAATGCGCCTGCCGCGCAAGCAGAAAATCATTATCGTCATCACATTCAGTTTTGGATTTTTTGTCGCCGTGGTTGATGTCATTCGGATCGCTTACATTCAAGATGCTGCGACTTCCCGTCAGATCGCCCTCAAAGAAGTTCACCTCCAGGGTACCCCCGGCGACGATTTGAGCTGTTAGTCAACTGTGCCCCGTGGTTGCATCTTCGTCTACCTCTAACTTCAAGCTTTAGGGTACGCGGCATTCTCCTTCATGTGGTCCGTCATCGAAGTCAATGTGTCCATTATATGCGCCTGCGTTCCTAGCCTCAAGCCGCTCGTCGCCCGATTGCTTCCCAAGCTCATTCGCGACACCGACGAAAGTTATCAGGCCTCTTCGCCTGGCACCCAACCGCTACAGGCGCTGGCGCCCATTGCAGTCGGGGACTCTGTGCCCCGACCTGCCCCGTCAAATGGAACCCCAAACCCTAAACCCACCCAGTCGGAGAGTCGGAGCAGTCAGGCTGGCAGCGACACACGCGTCGTTCTGACGGAGTTTCTGGCCGCCCCGCCGCCCCAATCAGGCGCGGAAGCGACCGACGTGGAGCAGCGCACGAACACAGTGACCAATTCCTCCTACCCGCCCAGTATCACCTTCTTCGACTTCGTCAATATGAAACAGCCCGCGAACATGCTCAAGCTGAGCAACAAAGAGTCCATCACACCGATCGCGTTCACCACTGTTTTGTTCTTCCTCTGGGGCTTTGCTTATGGATTGCTCGACATGCTGAATGAGCAATTCAAGAAAATCCTACATCTTGGTGTATATCGGTCATACGGCTTGCACGCGACCTACTACGGTGGGTATCTGTTGGGCCCACCGCTTGTGGGCCGTCCGGTGCTCAAACATTGGGGCTTCAAGGCTTCATTCATAACGGGCCTCTGCATCTACGCATGCGGCTCCCTCATCTTCTGGCCCTCCGCTGTGTTGACTTCTTATTCAGCGTTCGCTGTGTCCAACTTTATTGTCGGGTTCGGCTTGGCCGTGCTTGAGACAGCCGGCAACCCGTTCATTGCTCTATGCGGTCCGCTCGAAAACTCCGAGATTCGTCTCAACATCTCACAGGGTGTCCAGGCTGTTGGCAGTGTTGTTTCGCAGCTTCTGGCGAAAAAGGTTCTGTTTAAAAAGGTTACTGATGTATCCTCCTTGGTAGACGTCCAGTGGACCTACCTTGGCATCGCTCTATTCGACGTGATCCTGGCCCTCGTCTTCTACTACCTGCCTGTTCCGGAGGCTTCCGATGCTGATTTGGAAGAGTTGGCAAACCGTCGGCGATCCGACAATCGTGCTCGTGTGGCGGGGTTGCCGGTGGTTTGGGTCACACTGGGCCTGGGTATATGGTCCGTGTTCATGTATGTCGCGGGCCAAGAAGTCTTGTCCATGAGCTTTGCGCGTTTTGTCGAGGAGGTTCATCCAAAGTGAGTTTCCTATCCTGATCTCCTGTTGCTCATTTCACTAAAGTGGGTACAGCGCTTCCTTAAGCCCCTTCGAATTCTTGACCATTGGGCACACAGTCTTTGCAGCAGGGCGTTTTTTAGCCGCTCTTCTGCAATGGTTTCTGAAGCCACGCTGGATTCTGCTGTTGTCCTACATTGGCATGATCGTGTGCGCCGCGCTATGCATGCATACCACCGGCCTCACGGCGGTGACAATGGCGGAGCTTGTATATCTGTTCGAAAGCGGTGCCTTTAGTATCAGTTTTGCCATCGCTTTGCGGGGCACGGGACGGCATACCAAGACAGCCGGCTGTTTGCTGACGATGGCCATCGGAGGGGGCGGTGGTATCTTCCCGTTTGCGCAGTACGCAGCGCAACTGGTAGGCGGCGTACCCTACTCGTATAGCGTTCTCGTGGCGGTCTCCGCCGCGGGCGCCATATTCCCAATCTATTTGAACCTCGTACCGGCGGCCAAGAAGCAGGTGGATCCGGTGCCCAACGAACATCTGCGACATCCCCGCCGCCGTAGCCGCGGCGTGCCGCGTGCCAAGGACAATCCGTCTGTGGGTGGAGTGCTGTCGCGACGGCGCAGTGTGCTCTTGGATCCGCTACCGACCGTGCAACTGACGGAGTGATTGGCTTTTTTGTTTTCTCCCCTTGGGGATATGCCTTGTGATACCCATACATTGTTTAATATTTTGTTTGATCCTGGATTTAGCATGGCGTCAGGTTGCATTAGCATTTGGAATGACAAATCGACAGCGTCGCACCGTGGTAGCGTTGACATCAGTTCGAAGCGTCATTTGAGTCGCTCGCTACAGCATATAGTTATACTTCGGAAGACAATTGTCGACGATTGTGTACAGCGAAGCAGGGTTACGAATCAAAGTACCCTGATAGAGTCGAACAGTCTATCCATATAGAGTTCGAAGACTTCATGGTTGAACATATTGTTTACTGTAATAGTGTCCCCAACTGTCTCATGCTGCTCGACTCAACAATTAAGATCTAAGACGTACAGTCAGGTACGGACAACCCAGGGTGGGTCTGTCAATGTCTTGTCACCAGGCCTGTGGCTAGTCCAGGCAGTGGCTGTGCGTGCGGGAACCCTAGTCGCAAATGCCACGGCACTTCAATAACTCTTGAGGTGAGGTAAGTTACCCGTACTTGAATCTGCACCGTGGTATTATAGCTCATGGTAACGTCCCGTAATGCACCACTTGTAACGTACAGTGATACCATACCCCGTTCCACCCTGTATCCAAAGCACTACCCAGTCAACTTGTCGGGTACTAAGTTAGGTCAGGTCGGTCAGGTGCAACAAACGTACTATCCTCGCGAGGTTCCGGGGACCGGGTTTCCAAGCAGAAGCAGATAGATTCGAGGCGCCCAACAATACTGCAGTGCAGTGAAAGAGCCCGATGCAGGTTTGCAATACAACGAGAGCTCGTATCTACGTCCATATTATCTATGTGATATCGGGTTTTGACTCGGCTTGGTGAAACTTGCAGATGTAGTATGTTCTCAGCTCGTGGGTGGGTATCTGGAGGGAAATATCATTATCATCTTCTGCATATGCGTAGTGAGCACTACTCAAGTGGTGGGGGTGAGTTGATCGATACGGAATAAGATGTCTGGATGTCTGGATTCCTTGATCATTCAAGAGATGAATAGTTGACAAGGAGGACAGATGAATGGAAGGACTTCCTACCGGCCTGAGCAGGAAGGCGGAAAGCCCTTCGAGTCCTAGGCGTACCTCGTCAGTAAATTAGATTTGTTCTTCTCAGCATATCTCCAAGCCAAGACCCGATCGAAAGCTTATTACTGGAATGTGGGACTACCATTTAAGATCTATGTTGCGACGGGCTTACATGAGTCTCCATGGAACTAGATGCGAGGACTAGTAATTACGCATAGCAACGACCATTGATTTGACATTCATGATTCATGATTGTGAAAAAGGTATAGTAAATATGTACTATGAAGTAAAGCAACCGGCGCCTCTATCCATGCGCTGAAACAAAACGGGAGAAGAAGAAAAGTCATCATCATAGCACCATCTCACCGACGATGCGAAGCATTTACCACCAGTCACCCTGGTCCTTCATGGCAGCAGCAACCTTGGTGAAACCAGCGATGTTGGAACCGGTGACCAGGGAAGGCAGGACACCCTCAGCAGGGGTGGCGTACTCGATAGCGGTCTCGAGACCGTTCTTAAAGCAAGAGCGCATGATGTCCTTGAGACGGGCATCAACCTCCTCAGAGGTCCAGCTGAGGCGGGCAGAGTTCTGAGCCATCTCGAGACCGGAGACGGCGACACCACCGGCGTTGGCGGCCTTACCGGGGGCGTACCAGATGGCAGCCTTGCCGGCGTTGGCCTGACGGTGGGCCTCGAAGGTGTCGATGGCCTCCTGGGTGCAGCCCATGTTGGAACCCTCAGCGATGAACTTGGCTCCGGCATCGATCAGCGCCTGCGCCTCCTCGCCGGAAACCTCGTTCTGGGTAGCAGAGGGAAGGGCAACGTCGACCTTGCCAACGTGCTTCCAGGGACGAGCACCAGCAATGTACTTGAACTTGGCGGAGTCGGCGAAGACACCCTCGGAAACGATAGAGGCGAGCTGCTTGCGGGCGACCTTGAGGTCGGCAATCAAAGCGATCTCCTCGGGGGTGAAGCTGGAGTCGTTGACAACGATGAGGGAGCCCTGGCTGTCGCTCAGGGAAACAACGGAACCACCGAGCTCAATGACCTTGAGAGCGGCGTACTGGGCGACGTTACCGGAACCAGAGATGGCGACGCGCTTGCCGGAGAAGGACTCGGCGCCGTTGGTGGCGTGCTGGATCATGTGCTCAACGTACTGCGATGACCTGTTAGCACAATGCGCCTGTGATGCCAGAAACAGAAGGATAACATACGTAGACAACACCGTAACCGGTAGCCTCGGGGCGGATCAAGGAGCCACCCCAGGTGAGGCCCTTACCAGTGAGGACACCCTCCCACTGGTTGCGGATCTTGCGGTACTGGCCGAAGAGGAAACCAATCTCACGACCAGTGACACCGATATCACCAGCGGGGACATCAGTGTCGGCACCGATGTGCTTGGCGAGCTCAGTCATGAAAGAAACGCAGAAGCGGCGGATCTCGTTGTCGGACTTGCCCTTGGGGTCGAAGTCGGAACCACCCTTACCACCACCCATGCTCAGACCAGTCAAGGCGTTCTTAAAGATCTGCTCGAAACCCAAGAACTTGAGGATGGAGAGGTTGACAGTGGGGTGGAAGCGGAGACCACCCTTGTAGGGGCCGAGGGCGGAGTTGAACTGGACACGGAAACCGCGGTTGACCTGGACCTGGCCCTGGTCATCCTCCCAGACGACACGGAACTGGATGACGCGCTCGGGGACGGAGACGACAGCCAGAGCCTTGCGGTATTCGGGGTTCTTCTGGAAAAGAGTGGAATTCTCGAGGGTCGAGGCAAGCTCTGTTGAAGGGGGGAAATTGTTAGGTACAGTGGAAACAAATTGGGTAGCTATTTGGATTGATAGAAGAACATACCCTTGTAGGCCTGCTCGAACTCGGGCTCAACGGGAAGGTTGGACATGGTGAATGAGGGAGGGAAGAGAATATTTAGTATGATGTTGTTAGAAGAAGAAGAATGACCCAAAGGATACCCGACAAGACTTTTGAAGACCTGGTCTGGGCGAGAGATGGAGGATGGGGATGGGAAGAAAGAAAGAGAAAGAGATGAGGGAGGAGAGAGAATGGGTTTATGTATCTTTCCCATTGCCTCTTTTTCTTCCGGGTTTCCCCCCTCTGCCCTTCCCTTCCCGTTTCAGTCCCCCCTCCCCTCCCCCTCCTCCTCTCCTGCTTCTACCCCCGACCCCGGACTGGGTTTGTGGTAGCAGTCATGGTAGGTAGCAGTGGATGGTGGGTGCCACTGGGTCGGAGCGGAAGAGGGTTGTCCGGACGGCAAAACGGAAAAAAAAAAAAGAAAGAAAAGAAAAAAGGAAACGGGAAAATCAAAGAAACACCAAAAAGGTGTACAGTAACAGCCGGAGTCGGACGAGACGTAGGAAGTCCCCGCCGGAGAGGAAAAGTAGTAAGGCAGTCAACGGCAGCGGGACTAATCACGGCAAAGCAATGCCGGGTGGGCGTCCGAAGTTCGGGGCAGTGTTAGTCGATAGTTTATGGTCACAGAATCTGCGCCCGTTATCTATCGGCGGAAACCCGCCCCTCTCGCCGCTTTCAGTCCTCCCGGGAAATCCTCGTGTGGCAAGGAATCTCTCGGGATGCAAAGCTCTAAGCGAGCTGGATTAAGAGATTTTCTGGATGAAACGTACGTAGTCTACTCCGGACTGTCCTTGGGTTCATTGACTATTGTTCAGTAGTAGTAGTAGTAGTAGTAGTAGTAGTGGTGGACTTCTGGTCTGCTCCCCTTCCCAACCCATCATGTACATATACTGTACGATGTGAAATGCATGCCAAGCCTCTCCCTGCAGGCCCATCGAAGGCACGTGACCTCGGAATCAATACTCAGATCCCCCAAGTGCAGTGCGCCCCACGTGTAAGCGAAAGTCTTATCTGATTGTTTTACGCACTATCAACCCGATCATCTCTACGTAGAGTGCGCCCTCTGAAGACTGGAATACGCCTGTCTCAGAACTAGGAAACACATTGTTGTTGGGTGTTCTCTCCGAAAACAGGATGAATCGTTAACTGTCGGGAGACTCCGGCTTCCCGGTGAGCTGAGCTGAGTAGGGTCGTGGACAGTGGACACAGCGGGGGGAGGGGGGAAGAAGAGATGGCCGCCGCTGGCTGGTGGTGGTACGGGAAGGCGGGCAAGTATAACACACGGTTCACCGGGCGATCATACCATCTGTGGCCTTGCTCTGTCCGTCTCACCGGTAAACTGCCCATCGCCTAATCCCAATTCTGCCTATGAGTAGTATAGACCGTTTCGCCAATTAAGAAAAGGCAACGCAACAGAATGGCACATCCCTACCTTCTAGGGCACTCGAAAGCCATCGACATCACATTGGTGTCATGTTCATTGTACTGTACACAAATGGTCGATGAAAATTCCAGCCCCAGCAGCAAGGAAACCTTTAGGTTGCGGCTGACTGGCCAAACTTCACCTGGGGGCACATGTGATGGCGCCGGGGCAAGTTCAAGGTTACCAATTCCAATCGAGTTACAGTGACTGCGGAGCCAATCAGCATAATCCAAGACCCTTGTCCGTCCTTATCTTGACGGTATCAGAGCCAATGACATGGTGCAATTGTCATAGATAAGTAGCCGAGTTCCGCAACCCGAGAGGGTGGCACTAAGGCTGTCCCGTCTGTGCTCACTGCTCACTCACGGCTCGGATTCGAGGACTGGGAGGGAATCTGCGGTGCAGGCAGGCTTAAACATTGGCAGGTGCTAAAGAAACTTTGGCACTAAACCTCTTTAATCATCCTTCCCCCACTCCCTTCCCTGAGCCGACTCGCCCGAGTACGACCATCCGAGCGGAATGCGCACGCGGTGTCTTAACTCTAAGTCTCTAACGCCTCTAAGATCACAAGCTGCCCGCTAAACTCCCCCACTAATGCATCCGTCGGTGGTCGGGGTTTGTTGAGAGGGATTCTGGCCCGACTTGGTCTTTTCTTGGTTATCTGGGGGAGGCGACTGTCTTTGATCCATTTGGTTGTTGGGGAAGAATGGGGGGGGGGAGTAAGATGCGAGATCCGGGGAAAGTACCTTATGCACCAGTGCAACTTCGATCACATACTCTACCATACAATTGGGTAGGTGAATTGAACATCAGATCAGGCTCAACGCCACAAGACGCGTCGATATCTACCATGATTACTTTTTCATTTTACTTAACATCGCCTGCTAGCCAATGAGATACTCTACAGGGTACTTGTCAGTAGGCAAGGTAGGCAAGGGAAACTACACTAGCCATGCGTTGCTATCCTTTTCCGCTCTCACCATCAGCGGCAGTACTTTTCTTAGCGTTAGTGCATTCCTCCGGGGGCAAAGTAGGATCCGATGTCGGCATCAGTCTCCCTGGTGATTATACCACCAATCAAGTGAACCACGCTTTATCGGCCTGGCGTTCCCATTTCACTGACCCGTTGAGGACTTCGAAGGATCAATCCATTACAGCCCGATTCTTTAGGCTATTGTTCTCGTTCGACGCATTAGGGGACAAATGCCCTCCGAGATCCCGCTCGGAGCGGAAAGCAACAACAAAGGGATCATTTACATACCTACGCTACGATCATTTTAGAAAGTTGAGAACAATACAAGAGGACACTTCATATTTGCTTCTGCGAATGACCGACTGCCCGAGTACATCGAGTCAGGCATATGCGAAGCGAGCTAGCGGAGTACATGAACCAAGGTCAGGCAATACCTGCATGTTAAAACAGAATGCGAAATAGGCTGTGCGGGCCGCCATCCTAGCACCTCGGGGGGCCCCAGGCCCTCCAGGAGTCCATGCATGCATAAAGCGTGGTTCTGGAAACAAGCTGCATCTACAACACAAACGATCTCGCTAATCTGGATTAATTATCGAAACTGCGCAGCTTCTGGAGCGTGCTCCACTCACTCCTGTACATGCCATTGCGCTCATCGCTCGCTCACTCCAGCACGTAACCCTTGACCGCCGCGAGTTTGGAGACGAGCAGGTGGGAAAGAGGGGGTGGGGGGTTCTACTCTCGCCGCCCTCACATGACACACGGACAGGGGCAGGCCATACTTCATGCCAGTGTTAGCCAAGCAGGAAGCAGCAACGAAAGACATGCGGGCACGTTGGCGGAATGTCAAATCTAGTTACCAGTCCCAGATCTGCCATTACCATGACATATACTAGCCAGGTCTCGAGTGTAATGTCACTTCTCGCACATCGAGGCTCGCCATATGCTACGTAGTCCAGCTATCCGTCCATATGCGGATCTTTCAATGGAATCCAGACGATTAGAAAGAACAGAACTTTCAGAGTCTGGAAGCATCTTCTGTCTACAGTGCTCTCCTCAGCTGGAGTCAGATCTAGACTTTCAAGTCGATACTATCATGTGTCTGTACGATTCTTCCACTCCCAAGGATGGCTTCCGGGACTAATTCCATCGAAGCTGACGATCCACCACCGAGCTCATTCACTGATCAGAAGGGCTTTCTGGTGCAGCTCATTCATCAGACTAAGAGCAAGCAAGATCTCATATTGTATTTCAATCTCATATTGTGTGAACAATTAGCATAATGGGTTGTCAAGATACATTCCTACTGTCCATTGCATTGTTGTAGGCTCTCCCTGTACTCGAAGGGACATCATCGTAAATTAAACCCAACGATTAGATCATCTAGGCCAGCAAAGAGACCCGTATAGTATGTCAAGTTAAAGGAAATTTATTGGAGCTCAGAAAAACCACGTGCCCGGCGATGCATGTAGGCTCGATCTGTCGGATTGGACACCCCACAACCTGGAACTATGGGGCCGGTGGGCTAGAACTATGAAGCTCAGGCTTCACAATTGCCGGCGAGCTCATCATTGTTGCACTTGCTTCTGGCATAAGGCTACCTAGGTAGTGTCCCGGGAGAATTATCCCTACTCGTAGAACGATTGACAGCGAATGAGAAACACCAAGAGCTAGCCCGGGGGATATCTCCTCTGCAGAGAAAGTCTAATTCTTAATTGACAGGCTACATGGGATCAGTTCTATCTACGACTGCATATCTAAGACACATACCGTAGTTAATCCTAGCCAAGAGTTAGCACCCTGCTTGTGAGGCCAATGGGTGTGAAATCAGCCCATGTACAGGGTATCAGATGCACCCGGACAAGGTATTGTATATATTTGTGGTACTTCTCTGTAGTTGCTATGCCAGTATGGACTCAAAATGTATAGCACTGCATCTTACTGGATATGTGGAATTGCGAAACGATTCTTATTTGACTGACAGAATGAGGTACAGTACTATGTACATACGGTTGGGAGATAGGCTGGTTCTACTCAGTACCCAATACGTACCAGATATTTCGGTAAGGTCTTGTCCATTACATATGGTACGTGATCAGTGTATGAAACTGTTACCGACTGGTTACAACACCACCAGTTTGGACCCCTTCTTGGTCTGCCGTCCCGGTCTCCTTACCCCCTCCCTTCATGAGGAGAGATCTGGACTAGTTGAAAACACCACTCCGTCCTCCGTACCTGGTTTCATGATATGTCCGAGCTAGCCTGAAGAAACAAGAGACTGCTCACAAATCTTGTATAATCAACAGTGGCCTCCCCCCCCCGCTTCTTCAGCCGCGCGCCAGTCACTGGTGCGGGATCTTCATCGAAAAAGTCCAGAAGAAGTTTAAACATGAGTAGCTAAAGAAAAGGCACGCTCCCTAGTTTTTGTTCTAGGAACTCTCTCTACCTTTAGTTCCCACGCTTGTTCGATTGGGTTTTGTGCAGTTTATGCATAGCGGATCTAGGTCTCCCTCCAGTTTTCGTTGGGTCCTGCAGGGACACAACACAACCCCAAGGACCAAATGGACCGAGGAACCACAAGAATAACTAACTTCTACGTATGTACTGTGCCTAATCCGATGGGAAAAAAAAGAAAAAAAGGAAAAAAGAGAAAAAAAGGAAAAAAGAAAAAATAGAACAACCACCTACGCTACCCGGATGAGATGAGATCCCCCCCCTCCTCTTCACCCTCTCCCCCTACGCGATCGATAACCACAGATCCGATCCACGAGTTCCGACCGGTGGAGAAGGAAGGGGGCGCGGTTCGTCATCCCAACCCATCGGCTCCGATCTCCCTCTCCCACGGTAATTGGTAGGTAAATGTTGGCGGGCAGCAGATGTAAAAATTCAAATCGATCGATCCAAGCGGACCGGGATTGTGCGACTCGCATGGCATAGGTCCATTGCCTCATATCTCAAACGTATCTGCCTTTGCCCTCTCACAGATAACCCTTAGAGAATTAAAGATGGTATGTAGTCTGTCTAGGTATGTGTTTACACCTGTAAACCGAAGTTCAGCAAGACGGCTGGCCCCCTTTCTCAGTTTCACGCAATACAGACTGTAGCAGAAGTATAAATCTTCATCCAGTGCGAGCGATTGACCCAGATAAACTCCGAATGGGCAGGCACACGAACATTCCCCTCACCACCTGGCCCCATGACGATTCTAACCGATCCGTGATGTGAGCGCCAGTCGCCTCGGTACATTGTTCCCGTCCGAACCAATGCCGTGTTCCACAGCGCACTACTGGGCTGTCAGCCTCGCTAGAGGTCGTCTCGCTTGTTTCAGACTTCTATCGTTCCGGAGGTAGGTGCCCAATCGAGACACTTGTCGAGGTCGATCCTCACCAGGTTGGCCCTGCCATCCAGGTTCTTGGGGTCGTGAACCGCGATCGCAGTAGTAGGGGGCTCAGGGGGCGCCGTTCTTTTCGCATTCGAGTAAAGCATGTTCCAGCGATGACGACAAGCCCTACCAATGTCTAGAATTCAGAGATGTGGTAGTTAGTCAACATCTCCAACTTGGAATCAAGAGCTGTGCATTAATGCTATACTAAATACCAACGCCTATCATATGATTCATTGATTGGCTGCTGTTTTCAAAAATCCTCGGTCGTGTATATCCAAGTATAGCCCCTTGCAAAAAGGAGTGCGCTCCGTAGTCAATAATAGAAGCCAAAACTAAAATGTGGGCCCGCGCCAGTCTATCACGCTCAAGAACTCATATGATCGTCATCTCATGGCAGGCATGCGAAGAACAGAAAGAATATTAAAAGAATAGAAACGGGTTCCGCTATGAGGTCCCCAAACTCCGTACTGTCACCCATAGTCGTTGGGTATTGTTCATCATGTAGAAGTCAACCCGGGGGATCGATGCAAAATGATAAAGCAAGAAGAGGCAAGGAAATGAGAGAAGATTTGGATCGAGGGAATAGAAGCCTCAGCCACGTGAGCTCTGCGCTCGCGACATGTTAGACGATGAATCGCGAAGGGCATCAGGCGCTCGTGGCCCGACCATCCAGTCCTCCATGGCAAGCCACTCACTCCAGCTCCTCTCCGCGGCCTCGATCTCTGAATCCAGCGGACCCTGCAATGGGCGTAAAAATGGGATAGTCTCCAGCGGAGCAATATCGTAATCCTTTTTCACAGCTGCCCACCCCCCACTTTTCGCTGCGAAGAGGTAATTGCGCCTCTCCTGTTCGTGCAGAGGGCCGATGCCGGTGGCCCATTCGTTCCCGAAGAATCCTTGAAGCACCCCAGGAAAATCCATTCCAGTAGCCACTAGGCGACGAATATAAGGAATCAGCGAGACAGAAGGGGGCACTGTCGACGGCCCAGATGAATCCGAAGGGGTACTGGTTTGGTTGGCGCTTGTTGAAGAGTGATTGGTGGACGAGCTCGAGCTCGAGCTCGAGCTTGCAACCGGGTTGGATTCCCATTGGAATGGAAGACGAATGTTCAGAAAAGCGGAAAGCGCTTGAACAGGGACGCTGTGTTGCGCATCATCCAAGAAGTATCGCTGACAATTTTGATAGCGCGGGTACCATTCGAAGATGTCGCAACCAACTGTAGACGATTCCGCAGGTCCTATCATCGCTGCTGGTTCGCGGATTTGATTATCATTCATTGGAGGAGCGGAAGCACGTTTCGCGGGGTCAATCGAATTTCTGCTGCGGAAATGTTCACTTGCGTCAGTTCTGAATCATTCAAGATCATGGCCTCAATACTATTTCATTTCGATATTTTCTGATGGCCTTGGCTGGTGTTTCGACACTTGAGACAGAAGTGGCATAAATCAGGCTCTGCTCAGTGAAAAGCACGACAGGCAGCAAGTGGTATTGTACGGGGAAAAACCACGACTGAACAGCCGAAGTAGAGGGGTAGAAGGGCTAGAGGGCGAGCGAATGCGTACTTGCTATCAATCACACTGCGTCCCCTTCGAAGGAGAGATCTTCGTGGCCGCGTAGATGGGAAGGACAATGATGAGGAGCGAAACAGATTCCTGATGGTAAACCCTAGGCCTCTCCCCGGATGAGATTCGTCCATGGACATCTGCTAGGCGCATTCCATCTATTATCGAAGCAGAAAACACAAGTCATGACATGGGCCCTAGCCCAAGAGAAACACTTGTCGGAGGGAGCGGGGAGAAGATGCGGTATTTGGTGAACAAATACAGGTAGGTGATAGTCGCAGCGGAGGAAATAGAGAGGGGGAAGAGGGGGGGGGTTCAACGCTCTACTTTAGGTGATGGGCTCCATTGGAAGAACTGGAACGGGGCTGCAAATGAGCATACATAAAAAAAAGTTCAGTTTGAGACAAAAATAAAGAAGGTTACGAAGAAGGGAACCGGCCCGGAAGGGTAGGAACTGGAAAGAAAGAGTCAGATTGCGGAGCTGGACTGGAAGGTGTGGACTTTGTAGACCAGGTATATTGTTTGGGACCTTGGGTACTGGTAGTTACTCCGTACTGGGTGCGACTAGCACCAGAGAAAGGAACGGGTCTACCCGATTAAAGGCGGTTCGTTTTGTTTCGTTTTTGTTTGGGAGGGGGGCTTTTTTTTATTGAAGGATTTTCTTTTTCTCTCGCTTTTCTTTACTCCTTCTTTTCTTTCTGGATTTTTCCTATTCCTTCTGTTCTTTCTCTTTCCTTTCTTTGCACATCATCATCTGTCAAACGAAAGGAAATGTACTATATTATCGTGTTGGTACAAATGACTCTTAGTACACATGTACCGTACATACCCAAGGGATATAGTGTTTCGCTGAGGTGCCTCCAGTCACAGCTGTTCAAATAATTTCTGATGGTATTTGCATGTTTTAGGATAATTCGCCTAGTAGCATTGGGCTGTAATAAGATTGAATTGATAGATAGAACCCCATTTAGTAGTAGCTTGTTCAAACGAGGTGCCTGAATAGCTATAGCGTAACCTCTCTAAGCCACACTAACGTTAAGTATCAGTAGTGTGGCGGGTATCGAGCAGCACTAACCTCACAGTACCTACTGAGTAGAAAGACAAGGCCGCTTTCAGATTAAGAAATCTTAGGGTAAAACTGGAAGGAAGAACCCTCATCAAAGTGATTGTCATCGGCAGTCAGATTCTCAATCATAGTATCGATTGCGGTTATTGACTGGTCTCTATTCTCTGAATTTTTTTTTTTAGAGTTTTCTAAATGCCCCCCTCCTCCCCTTCTTCTTTGGTGCGAATGAAGAAATGAATCATTCACAGTGATCGAGAATGGAATCCCAAGGAACCTGGACATTAGAATCAGGTACAGATCGAATGGTTCAGGGCGGCCCTTCGGTGGATTCTGGGTAGTCCCTCCGAGCCTCTAGCCTTTAAGCCTCTAGCGGATGGCAAAAAAGGTGTTGGTCATCGCGTGTCCTTTTACTGCCTGTGGATCCCGAAATAATGCAGATTTGGATAGAACCCAGATCAAACACATCCGTGCATCTACCGTAGATGCCTGTAAGGTACTGTACATTTATGTTCATCCTAGTCCTTTCTAGTAACCACGAACGGCATGGTGACTTACTAAGGAAGAGAAATTCCTTTACCTATGTTGAAGCCTACATCCGAAACTTCGGCCTGCACACCTCAGCCCCCTACCTGGAGTGAAGAAAATAGACACTGCATTGGCTGAGCCCACGAATTCTCGTTTCTGTTTCAGTATGACCTCTATGTCTCCCACGTTCATGGTTCACCTTGTCGCATTGATTGGCGTCTATAGAACTTTATCTAGTACATATGTAATACCTATGAAGGAAGCTGGGCGAAACAAATACTGAACGCATGTAATTAACATTACAAGGACTGGAAGGGTAACTGAATTCTCGTTGTCGCCTGCAGATCGAACCGACAGAATGGAGAACCAGACAACCATCGAGTCCATATCATAACTTTCAGGGAAATTGAGTCTTGGGCCGAAATCCAAGAATCAGCGTGAGTGAAGAGGTGCGACAGCCTCAAACATTTTATCCATCAGGGCAAGATTAAGGTTAAGGTGTCTCTCCCGCCCGGGGCACAGTTTTGGACAATACTCCATCAGTAAGTTAAAGTACCTTGCTCGGTAACGGCACATCCCCAGTCAATAATCATAAAAACAGCAGGTTCCAGCTTTCCAGGTCGATGAAGAACCAATATGGTCAAATCAAAAGGCAATAATGTAAGATTATTTGACAGATTGTTCTTTACTCCTCCTGTCAAATTTGTCAATCGCGTGTTTCCCATGCCTTCAACATTAAATGAGGAAACGCGGTGTTTCAAGCCGATTCCAATAATCTATAGTATGCATCATCCCTACCACCAAGGGATGCGGCCCAAGTGGCGTTTCTATAGTCTTCCTTGCTAGTACTGAGTAGTAGGCATTGACATACCTACTGCCTATAGTCCGGCGGCCTCGTCTAGCCCCTCCCCCTTCATTGAACCACTATAGGACTTGGTCCATTGCGAACGATCCTTATCGAATGATAAGCTGTACTCGGAAATCAGTGTGAGAAATGGTACTATCGATGGGGCTGAAAAGAAAAAAAAAAGCTCAGGTATCTATTTTGCCGTGCTAATAATGTATGCTAGCGCCCAGATTTGGTATTCGGCGGGGTACATACAGTAAGGTATTCCTCCCTCCCTCTGTAAGCAATTCGTAAGATATTCTCAAGCACAACAAGCAATCTAAGATAATTGCCGCTATCATGCTTGAGCGTGCCATTCCCAGTCAGCTGTCATTGTTTAAGTCGAAGTTGCAGGGGTCAAATACAGCCTTTTAGTCGGGTACTCCGTGAAGAGGAGCTTTCAAGTATGGACAAACCGAGATGGCTGTAATAATCCTTTTTATTGGTTGCATGACCAACCTTTGATGAGATACAGCAATATTGAAAATATCGAATAGCAAGAGTTGAAACCCCGGGGAGTTGTAGGGAAAGAAAGTATCCCCCTAAACAGGGCGGACAACATGGTAACACATGGTAAAGTAAGGGAGCTAAGCTTCCCCACCATTCACCCAGCCGCCGCTAGTTAAGATACGTACCGCTGCTGAGGACCACCTTTCCAATTGCGCATGAGAAATCATACGTAGGTTTTATTCATGCCTTTTCTGCATTGGGAATGAATTGCTCTGCATGCGCGGGTGCAACCCCTGTGGTGCTTTGGGGGGCGGGGGGTTGCCACACTGTGTAGCAGAGATCTGAATCTTGGAAACGCCAGTGCATCGGCGAAAATACTTGTCGCGTCATCTAATATTCTTCACCGTTATTGCTCAGCTCAGTATCATGCCTCGGATATGTTATCCTATCTGACTTCGCGGAAATTCAGGGTCAGTACTCCGTACTGTGAAATGCCTAAATGATAAGATAACAAAACGCCGTGCAGAAAACATGTAACTCTATTTGTGGGTCTTTGCTTTTCAATATGTCGAAATCGTCCTCAATGATTACTTCCTCTATAGTAACAGTAAGAAAATTCATATTGGCCGGTCCGCCAAGAAGACCGGGCAAATATGATGATCAATCATATCACAGAGCGGTGAGTATTGCACAAGTGAGTGCAACTTAACAGCCGTTTAGCCACCCACCCACGCCATGCGACTGGGCAGATGGTTACAGGAGTACTATGCCACTGATCATGTCCGATCCATTTCTCACGGCCTGAAATATACCTTGCGGTAACTACAGCCTCGATAGGAAGCTTTCAACTCACAACACTTCTCTACACCACGCGGCGGAATAGTATCTCCGTGACCTGGAACTAAAGTGTGGCTGAAGACAATTACGATTACAATACTGCTGGCAAGCATTGCCATCAAGGCTTATCTGCACAAGGGAGCGCAGTTTGGGTCTCATAATATGCAAGGTGATTGGTCCCCTAAGATGGCTACTGGCTCAGTATTCCTCAGTACCCCTCCGTAATTCCAGGAATTCAAGAATAATGTAAGGTATAACTCAACACGTTCGCCGTATCCACAACTACAACAACCACCCTTTTCATTGGATCCCAGGAACATGACGGAGGGGGTGACGCTAACAAAAAGTAGGGTCATGTTTATGCTTATCTACTAGCCATGCAACATGGCCAGAACAACGAACCAGCTTGCCGCCAACATGATGAAGTGGGCGACAATTATTGAGTTCATTATGTCCGGCGCGAGGACTCGAGTTCGATTTAAGGTCATCAAGAGAGCGGACGAGAAAGTTGCAAGTGGAATGACTTCGATATGGGCGGCACATGATATTTGCGAAAAAAAATTGTAGATACTGCTAGCATCATGGCTTTTCTACCTGTTCATTCATTGCATGGTGTCGCGAGTTCCAGATCCAGTTGTTGGCCTCTCGTTCCAGATCGATGGGATTCCCCCTTCTCAGCCACATCCACAGTGCACGAATGCAGCCTCACACAGCGGAGCGAAGTGGGCAGTAAGTGAGGTGGGGATACAATACGGACTCGCCGACGCCGCAGGATCGGCAGTGCAGCCACAGAATGCTTTGCCACCGTGGCACATTGCCTGTTTTCAGCTCTGGACTGTGAACTTATTGCCACTAGTAGGCACTAGCCACATATCAATGCATGTTTTGAAGCTTCAATCAGCAGCAGGGGGATTGTCG